AAAGCCCCAGTAGATAGTTGTATGTCATAGCTGCACATCCTTCTAGTTGCTGTATGTGGGACGCGGCCTCAGCATGGCCCGAGAAGCGGTGCGCGCCCGGGATCCGAACCCGGGCTGCCAGCAGCGGAGCGCGCGCACTTAACCGCTAAGCCACGGGGCCGGCCCTGTATTGATTTTCTTTACGATGGATGAGCCAGGTAAAAGTAGGCAACTGGTCAATATGGTTTTATTTCAGTATTTACTAAAGTTTTAAATATAATTACGTAGAAAACAAACATTTCAAAAAGTGCAAAATATTAGAAAGCTAATCAGTGCTATTAATCTTCCCATGCAAACAATCTCTTTTGCTGAGATAAGCAATACCAATTCTGCAGGTGGGAATATGTATAAAATGATACTCTACCAGGGTTTAAAAATAGGTTTAGTCAAGAGATTGCACATGATACAAGTGAGTAGTGCAAGTAATATATACAACTAAATAAAGGATATAAATCAAGCTTATTACCCTAATACACAACCATGATAATACCACAGGTGGATAGACAAGATGTACAGCTCTTTTAGTTACCTGCCCCTCACCACCAGGAAAGAAAGATTTTTTAGTACAAACAGTGGTTTAGCTAGCTATCCAGGGTTATGCTGTTCATCTTTGGTTACAGGGCCTCACTCTTGCTTGTCCTTTGGTTGATTCTTAAATAGTACCTATTCTGCTAATATGAAGAGTAAATTTAAATTTGAAGACAACTTGGCAAAAGCTTCCCCTTTAATACATATTGAATGCTACTTAATTCTCAGTAACCTTTACTTTCAACTCAGAGTTTATATAGGAAAGAAAATAAAGTATTGCATATATCTGAAACTTCTTAGTGGCTTAGTCAGCATTAGTCTAAAAGTAAATGGACAAGGAAAGGCCAGGCTCTGACCTAAACCCCAACCTTCCCTCTACCATCTCTAGAATGACAGTCATTAGCCTTCCCTTTCCTTTCTTCTCCAGGAAGGGATAAAGACCACTGCTGTAGAAGGGATGGCTTAAGTGAATGTTAAATGCCAGTGCTTTAGATACCATGATACATGTACAAAAAACATTTATAAAAAACAAAACACAGCTTGCCTGCCTATCCCACTCAATAAACAAGGGCCTGTGGAAATCTGAGAGGAGTGTAAAGGAGTATCACAAAGAGAACTGCAAAGACAATGACAAACTCTGACCAGTGGGGAAGAAAATACCTCCAGCATCGCGGTGAGCAGATGCCTTGGGAAAAATTAGTCTACAATCACCAGTCTTCTTCAAGGTACATCTCACTTTGCATATTCTGACGCTGACTGCAATAGCTGTTCCTTGGCCCGTATAGGCACAGGTTTTTCTTTCAGAATAAGAAACACTTCCTCCTGGCCAAACCTACCTGCTCACCAACATTGCCTGTGCCATGAGCCTTTTAAATAGCATTCTGGATCATGGGTACCTAAGAAGGCAATGATGTTTAAAAAATGTTTTTAAAGAGGACACACAATACTACCTTCACCCAAGTGGATGTGGCAGGTAACTTACACAAATTCTATTTCACCATAAATGCACCACTAAAAGATTTTATTTATAACCTAAGCAGTCAGTCAAGGCTGTGTCATTTCAGGTTTGTCAGCTTTTATAACTTTACCTTCAACTTAAGAACAGAAGCTATTATCAAATAACTAAGTCAGACTTCATCTAGAGTCTCCCAATTTGAAGTACGATATAAAAGGGCAAGTCTAGGATATATAACATATTGGCTTTATAAAGGTGCACCTAATATGAACATATTGTCCACTTTAGACTCTTATAGCAGCTCAAACACCTGTAAAAACAATGAACAGCATCAGTGATTCCTAGCAATAAATCTGTCAGTCAGCTGTAGAGAGAGTAAACAATACTCTCGTCAAGCCACATTTTAGTCTTTCTTCATACAGTACTAGCAGGAAAGAAAAGCTGATGCACAAGAATTTGACTGCCGAATAGTCTTTTCCATATCCACTTAGACTTAGCCTTCAAATGCAGAGAACACCAATGAGAGGGGTGTACCCCAACACGCCTTCTGAATCTCAAGAGTCTGTTCCCAAACTAGAACATTTTCTGAAGATAAGCAATAATTTCCCAGGAAAATTTCTACCCAATCCAAATCAAACTCAAAACAGACTTTATACCATCTCAAGTAATAAGCAATAAAGCATGGTACCTATATACTATAATCAAAGAATTAAAGATGCAAATCACCCCCAGCTCAGAAGAAAGAATGGCAAGTGTTTATATGAAGCCAGTGGTAAAAAGCAATAGGGTCTTCCCTTTGCTTTTCCACTCACTTCCAAAAAGGAAGATTATCTCCCAAAGACCCCAATGGTGAGTAAGTGGCAGGCAACATGCAGGAAATGACGCAGCTGAGGAGAGGAAAACTGCAGCAACAAACAGGTGGATTTTCTGGGGAAGGATCCCTCAATGTCCGTCTAGGGGAGAGAGTGGAAAAGAGGTCATCACGCAGTCACAACTGGAAAGCAACAAGGGAGAACGCCACAGTCCATTATACAAACTTTCTAGTTATACATCTAAAAAGCTGAGTAATTTAAATCTCAGGATGGGCTGTTTGTAATTAAAATTACAACTGTTGCCACGGTAAATCTTAGATGATCGGAACTATTAAGATTCTGAGTTTAGATCCTAAAAATGACAAGTGTTATTGGACCAAATCACTAGCAAAACACACATACACACTAACCTTCCTCGAAGTGGGCTATTACACTTCTTCCCCAAGAATTTTAACCAGAGTCTTTCTAAAAATGAATAATAACCTAGATCTTGGTGACAGGCAACAGAAAAGTATATTTCTATACTTTGGAGCTTGAGGCTCCATAGTTCCTTATAACATGTTAATATATAGGAACTGTGCTGCATACAAGACATTTAAAAACTTACATTAAGCAGCCATAGATGGTTCATTTTTACTGTAAAGGCTGATCAAGGAAGATACCCTGGGTTTGGTAGATTTCTTTGAGGACCAGCAATACGGTATCTTCAGACTCCCTGTAAAGAGAAAAATATGTTATAAAAAGAAGGAAATAACATTTGTACTAGATGCTACACATATAATCTCATTTAATCTATACAACCACCTTGCAAGTTCATTCTTTACTATTGCAAAAAAATCAGACTCAGAGGTGACTAATTGGCAGTGGTTTGGAAGGTAACCTTCTAACAAAGAAATCTAGCATTATGTCTGGTAATATAAAAAAGCTAGTAGTAAATGACCAAAAACTGTTCCGTTTCGACAGAGCTCATTCTTGGGACAATATGGAAGAGCCATCCAGTTGGTCACCTTAATTATTTTTTAAATGTTACTCAGTTTTTTAAAAAAGATAATACAATCATATGGTTCAAAATTCAAGATATAAAAGGGTATAATAATAAAGTCTCCCTCCCACCTGTTTCTTAACCACTAGTTCCCATCTTCAGACAACCAATGCTGTCAATTTCTCATGCATCTTCCAGATATTATTCTGTGTGTACAAGCGATTACTTACATCCAGTTCATAAAGAAATTTTATTTTAAAAAATAACATTCATGAAGGATTGCCTTAAAGATATACACATGGCTCAAACATTTCTCTAGATCCATGGTTCAACATTTTCTAAGTCATGGATCTATTTGAGAATCTAACGAAACCTATGGATTTCTCCCCAGAAAAGATCACATATACATATATACCCAAAATTATAAATAGAATTTCATTGGATTCATAGACTTTTTCTATCCCCTACAAATTCCATACACAGACCTCAGGTTAAGAAATTCCTCCCATGCCAACGAGGAGGGATTAGCCAAACCAGGTATTAAAATGGTGTGATCCTGGTACGTAAATAAATGTATTAATAGAAAAGAATAGGAAGTTCAGAAATAGCCCTAAATACATATAGGAATTTGATATAATAAGGTTAGAATCTCAAATCTATTAACAGTGTTGCAACAACTAGAGAGCCATCTGGAAAATGACTTGGATCAATCCACACCCTAATAGGATAAATCTGAAGTGAATCAAAGATTTACATGTAAAAATGAAACCATAAAATACCAGAACAAACTGTGGTAAGGAA